GTTATTATATGTTATAGTTTGGATTCCTAAAGCTTTTAGTCTCTGATTCCATAATTCGATGGCAGTTTATAAACCCAACCCATATAAAGCTTATAGTTAGGGCTGATTAGATTCAGCCCCTAGTTTTGCTGATATAGGCTTAGTTTGTCGGGGGACATCTTACTTCTTCCTTCTCTCTGTCTATACCTGTGTACTCTCATGTTCCGATTAACCCAGCGTCCCCAAATTTCTTTCTTTTTGGTGTCTATATACGCCGGGATCCGGAGTCGTGGATGATCCTGCGGTCCTGTGTCATGGATCGCGAGTCCTGGATCTTGAGTCGTGGCTGTGGTCCTGGATCATAAGTCCTGGATGGATATACTAGTGGATTCATCTTCCTATTATACACACATGCATTTCCAAACATTTGGACTACCTATGTTGCAAATGTATTATCTTTTCAATTTACACACGGCATCTATTGCACGTCTGTCCGTCCTGGGAGAGGGATCCCTCCTCTGTTGCGCTCCCTGAGGTTTCTCCCATTTTTCCCTTTAAACTGTGGGTTTTCTCCGGAAGTTTTTCCTTGTACGATGTGAGGGTCTATGGACAGAGGGTGTGGTATTGTCATTCTGTACAAACTGTGAAGTCCACTGAGACAAATGTAACATTTGTGATATTGGGCTATATAAATAAACATTGATTGATTGAAGTTCTGAATTTCTGTCTTTCTCGGTTCGCCTTTTGCCTTGACTAGTTCTGCGGTGAGTGTTCTGTTTTGTCTTTGCTTATATCATAGCCTTGAAATAAAGGAGTTTTTTCAGTTTATATCTGCATTTGGGTCCTGCTTCCTTCACAATCCGTAACACTCATTGATCCATGTATTCGGTTTGTTTCAAACTATAATAGTTTCACCACCACAGAGATACAGAGCTCCGGAACAGTAGAAACTCAGTCATTTGTTGGCAAAGCAACAATTGTCTAAAACTCAGGTTCCCAACTTTTTCACCACTTTTTAGCCAGGTATTGTCAGCCAGTACCCCTGTTTGCAGGGTGCATGCAATGTGAATAGTTATACCAAAGAGTTTGTATGTGTGAAGAAGTAAGCCTTTTTAGTATTTTATAAAACATATTTGAGAAAAAGCCACTTCAGCTTTGCTGGACTGTTCAAAATACCTTGCAACCCCCAACTCTGTAGTATACTGACCAAACACATCAATGCGGGGAAGATTATTATGCTGCAGGAGTGGCTTTAGGACTTTCCTTGGATGTTTTAAAACATATTGGCTGTCCTTTTTTGCTGTGAGTCTATTGTGAATCCAATATAAGAGCTGTAAATCCAATCTCATTCTACAACTTCTGACTTCAGCAAAGTAACAAGACAGCTTTCAGAGCTTCATTTCAAGCCTGCAGTTGGTTTGATGTATTACTTTTAAAACTTCCCACCAGCCACACGCTGTCTCTTCCCATTTTGTTTATTTTCTTTCTCTTCATCTATCTCATTTTCTCTGACATTTCAGCTCATGTTGTCAATTGTTTAATGTCTGGCAGGGATGAGGCGGCAGCTTAGTTTTCAGAAAACAATGACAGTTGTAAAGGTACATATTTTTGTTGCTGCCAGAGCACTACGACTTCAAGCCTGTCCACTCTCACCTCTGCCTCAGTGATGTCAAGAAACAACATCTTGCCAATTCGAAAACACTGCAGACAAGTCCTGTTGCCTTAGAGAAACTCTTCAAATTTGGGGTGACCAATGGATTTTTTTACAGACACAGCTCAGGGGAAAAATCTACTTTTGAAGCTTTGCTATCCCAGAATCAACGGGATGGCAAAATTGTTATCTGTGGATGATAGAGCTCGCATGTCATGCCATCTGTCGTACTGAATTGTCTTGAAGCTACTGTAGTCTGTCATATAAAAAACAATACACAAGTGCTTCGATGCTGCTGCATTGCAGTTCAATTGTGTTGTTGCCAGCAGAGGGATATGCAGTGTTCACATTACACTGAAAGACTGACTCATTCATTGGGTTGCAGTGCTGCATGAGGGTAATGACACTCAAACAGGAAATGGACTGTTATTATTTACAGATATGGCTTTTGAAGGCCAGTAGAGGAATGTACATTGATCGGAAGTTGAAGAGGAAGATTTGAGCTTGTTGAGTAGAATTAGTCCTCAGTCTGAGAATTATGAGACACTTGTAGTAAAAATCACTGGATTTACATTTCCATGGCAATGTAATGAAAAAAAGAATGAAATTGTGAATTGCCAGAAATGATCCTTTTCTTGTACAGACAAGCTTTTGCTTTATTTCAGTGAAAGGAAACCAAATAGCCTAACATTTAACCGCTTTATTTTCCACAAAGAAACATCTTTAAAATAGATACAACAGCATTAACTTCAGTGAATCAGACTGAAACAATTAGAGTGGATGAGAACAAATGTGTTAAATGACCAACATAAAATTAGATATTTGACTTCTTAAATGCACTTGTGGTGGTAATGCACACCGTCTCAATATTTCAGTGTTACATAATCTAATTTCCAGCTACTAAGGTATGGTTTGAGCCACCATTCATCTAGTCACTAGAATCCCTTTTTTTTTTTAGAATCATTGTACATTTTTCTCTCAAAATTGCAACAGGAAGCAATTTCAGACAGTGCAGCTAGAGAATTAGTCCTCATGTTCGCTGAGCAGCACTGTCTTTGAAAACAAGACGCTTCAGAAAATATCTTTCAACATGGTCCTCCTCACACGCTCTTCACCTCCTTCGCCACAGTGCCATCCTCCATTTGGAGCGGCTTCAGGAAATGAATTCCTCCTTAATACCCGGGACTAGTAGGCATTTCCACTACCACAGCTTCCTCTTGTCCAGAGGTTTAGTCCAATTTGCCATGATTTCAAAACAACACAAATATGTAAACAGCTTAGGAAATATGAACACACAACAAAAAGAAAAACATCCAAAGCATTTTGTTCCACCGCGCAGTGTTTCCTGTATCCTCATTCCTCTGCAGTGCAAAGAAAAAAAACAATAAATAGACCTCCTGTGTCATATATTTCTGTGTTTATCTATATACATATATATATTTTTCATAGTGATGTGTCTCTACATGAGCACACAGCTCTTGGCCCGGTCCTTCCTCATGGTGGGGGCTTCGTCCATTTGTTCAGTCCGGCCCGGCAGAGGGGGCAGGGGGAGCTGTGACACCCGCTTCAGGCCTCTGCGGGAACTGCTGCGTTTGAGCTGCGGCTTGTGCGCCCGTTGCACCGATGCAACCGTTGTGATGTGGAACACGTCCCGAACGCTGTTCTCTGAAACCTTGGAGGTGCACTCAACGTAGGCCACCGCCCCCATCTGTCGAGCTATTGTGCTGCCCTGAAACACGGAGACAGGCAAAGCAACAAGCAATTAGAGATTTCAAAACCGTTAACACATAAAAGGGGAAATGGGAGACTGCATGCAACATTTCATCTGGAGTGACATTGACAATATCAGCTTTTAGCAATTTTTCCTTTCTTTCTTATACTAGATCTGCAATGTCTTTTCTGTGTTTTGCTTTTAGAGGCTGTGTAAGATAGGAGTTTACTCCACTTCAAGGTGCTGTGTGAGTGCTTCACAAGATAATGACATTTTACAACATACACCCTATCCATCTTTGTACCTTTGCATAAGCAGGCACTATATCTCAACAGTGGAAGACTGAATGTGCCAGGAAGAAGCAGCAGATCCAAGAGAAAGATGACGATCTAAGCTGTAGACAGAATGTCAATGATCCTGGAGACAAATGAAGCTCCTCTATCTGAGGCATGAATAATGTAGATGCTCTGACTCCTCAGTCTTTGATAAGAGAGAGGGAACAGAGCCCACTGGGCCGCTGTTGACATGCTCAATGCAGCTATTTAGAGAGGAGAGACTAAACTCAAGCAGAACCTAACCTGCACTCGAGCTCACCCCTGAGAAATGTTACAATATACCCAGTTAATTGAGACCGTAAATTGTTTGCTTGGGATCAAATCAAAGGCAAATTTAATGTTAGAGCCCCTTGGCCTCTCTCTTCGCTACAGTACAGCCTCGTCTCTTGTTGCTCGATCAAGACTTTAAACCCACATTCACGCAGGATCGAGACATCAAGACAAAGGTTGTAGTCTAAAGTAAAGGTTGTAACATATGGGACAGTACTGCATTTCCCATGACCCTAAAATCGCATGCTCTCCAACACAGAGAGCTTTCATTCCCAAGGGGATGTGGTTTGATTCTTATCGCGGCTGTGCACTGAGCCGCATTTAAGAAGCAATGAAGTCCTCATTAGGTGGAACGGCAGATTAAGATGCAGGAGGGGGACAAGGTACAGATTGTCGTGACAAGCGGGGAAACCTTGATCAGATCTTAGATTAGTGTGGAAATGTCTGGAGTTCACCCAGTGGTCACTTGCTGGCAGCTCCTCAGCTGTGTTGGAATTCAATTTAAGATCAACAACGGGATAAAAACGCATGCTATTGGATTAGAACACCAAAAGGTTATTGTGCTTAGCTTTTGCATCTGCAATGTGACACACATTTTCTGGCTATGTTAGAGGAAAAAACAGTAGTAGCCTCAAATGTAAATGGTGAGTGTAAGCAGAACAATAGCTAAATGTGTGTCGGGCCACAAATTGTCCCTAGCTATTTTACATTATCTCTGTGGTGAACCATTCCATCTTTTTCTTATGCGTCTTATTTACATGAACTGTCCGTTGTTTTCAGTTGTTTATTTTTTTGGAGGCTGCGTGTTTTAAGCTTCTGGCAAGCTCTCGGAGAGCGGTTGAAAATAAAAGACTCCTTTGTTCTGAGGGCTTTTGTGTGGTTGCACCCCTCCACTTTTGTGTATGTCCAACGCAGGAGAGCACAAAATGAACACGCTGAAAGCTGATTAAAATTCACTGATATACACAACAGTTTATCATCCCCTCCTGCTTCTCCCCATCCCCTTGGCTTAGAGGTCATGGTGGCATGCGATAAAAGGGCTCAGTCATTCATCAATGTCCGTTTTTCTATTCATCTTGCATTTTCAAAACCCCTAAATCTGCATGAATATTTCATTTCAGGGAAAAAACGTGTCCCTAGACATAAACTCCAATAACAGCCCAAGTCTCTTCCTCAGCCCTCGCCAAACTTACATCACTTGTCAGCAAATTTGGTCAAAACGCCAACCCCAGCAACATGTCCCAAGGGGGGTTTCACACAGCTTTTATTCTGCAGTGGTTGATTGTGTTAACTTGAGCCCCTTTCACAGTCCCTTCCTATGGGACCAGAGAGAATGCCACTGCTGATCTAAGATGGAAAAATTGTACATAGATGCTGGATTGCTTTCCAATATCTCCACCGTTGTTATTCTCCAAGTCTTTTTTTCCCAGGGCACAAAGCAAGTCCCTCTCTCATTACCCATTCCACTCCTTTCTTCTCACATATTCATCATCTGCTTGTTCTCACCTGCTCGTGGGTGACAGGGATGAGGCGCTGCTTGGAGAGCTCCCTCAGGGTGCTGACGTCTGTCCTCATGTCCAGCTTGCAGCCCACCAGCACCACTTTGGCGTTGGGACAAAACTCCTGCGTCTCTCCTTGCCACTGTTGAGACATGAACCGACAGAGAAACAGATATAAATCACTGAATGTGCCAAATATGAGAGGAGAGATGCCTGTACTGACTGGTGAGGCACTGACAGACAGTGATGACCTTTGGGCTCTCTGACACTGGATACCTGAGCTCCAGGGAGATTAAAGCATCTGTTCAGCTAAGGAGTCAAAGAGAAATAAAAATATGTATTTTAAATATATCAATATGAGCGTTCCTGTGATTTAAATGAGAGGAAGTTACATTCCTTATTTTGTTCGAAAAATAAATGGCAAAAATCATAATCAATCACCAAAAAACTAAAACAACATTTGTGATAATATATAATTGGAAGAGTCTGCGGTATTGTGAAAGGCATATTCACTATGTCTTATCATGGTATAGACGAAACAATTAATAATTGAATTGAAAATAAGTGTTGAGTTGCAGCTCTATTAGACATTAATTCATCCATGTACAAAAACAGTAGCTCTTTAACCAACAATTATTTTTAATATGATTAATCTGGTGTTAATTTAGCTCGAAAATAGTCTTAATAGTCAATACAATGTCATAAAGCAGTGAAATTCACATCATAATTTCCTGAAACACATCTTCACATTTTGTTTGACCACTCTAAGACCCATATCAAAGACCCACATTAGATTTACATTTACATGAAATAAAGGAAACAATAAATCCTTGCTACTGAAAAATTACAAAAAGAGCATGATTGGCATAATCTTTTGTCAAACAACCAATCAAACTAACCATTCAGTTAAACACCAAGTATTGTTAATAAAAGCCTGTCCTAAATGTTCCTATTTTTTTAATCCAAGAACTCTTTCATTGTCAATATAAAAAGCCATTTCACTACAGTAACTGAGAAACCAGGTGAAAATGTTATATATGTATTCATGCCACCTTGGTTCAGTTATCTGCTGTACCTGATGTGTGTCGTACTTTCCTTATTTAACCTCCGTAAACAGATCTAATTCAGGTTTTACACAGAAAGCTTGACAGGTCCTTTTCCTAAAATCTCTCTGAGATTAAATGTCACTTCTGAAACTCAGCTGAACCAACACAGCCCCTCAGGTTAATACACGGCGGCAGCCGACAGACAGCCTTGAAATATTCACCATGCCGTGTGCAGAATGTCAGGATGTCCATTCATCTACCACGTTGAATGCGGCCTTTGACCTTTTAAGCCCACCCCTATTTTGCCAATAACACCCAATCACAAGCTTTGATTGTTCAACCCTCTCTTCTCCCCCAGCTGTCATCCAGAAACTTTGGTGACCTGCTTGTTTCTAGAGGTCAAGAGTCTAATTTGGGATGGTGATTGTGCAACAGGTTTCCATGTGCCCCTCAGTTTCAGATATTACCAGGGCGACAGCCCGGGGTCAGGGGTCATGGCAACCCCCTGCCAAGGGATTCATGGGAAAACCAAAAGCTTGACGGCATCTCTGCCTCCCCCTGTTGACAGAGAGCACTGAGGCTTGGGAGATATTCCTGAGTTAAAAAAAGGTGTCTCGGGTTAGATATACAAAGTCTGCAGGGGCATTTTTGCGGCTCCCCTCAGACCACTAAACACGTCAACAGGCCAGCCGTGGGAACTGTCTCTGGCCCACAAGGAGCACAGTTCAAAGACAAACACACACATGGCTCCAAGACGATAGACCACTAAAAGGCACAGTCCTATTTTACATGACACACATTCACATAAACACAGCCATTAAGTAGGGTGTCTCTACATGTGCAATAGGTATTGCCAGCAGCTGTAAAAACACATCCATGGCAACAACCCCGCCTGGCCAGTATCACATCAATGTCAGCTGCAGCAGCACATCTGAACCTTAGGCTACCTAACACATGTTAAGTGCTGCCATCTGGAACTGTTCTGCATACAACTCAGATTTTAAATGTAGGATGAGAAGGGCAATTTTAGTCCTCTTCATCATGCTCTGCAACAGCTCCTCGTTGATATGGCTAATTTGCGTATCAGCTATTCCTCTCGAACCCACCCGGGTGCTAAGACTCTCTTCTCATTCTTTACTCTGACCTTCCATTCCTCAGAAGAACGAGGGTCAAGTATCCATGGACGTTTTGATGAGATAAAGGAAAGGCAGGCTCTAACCTCGGTGCTGATTTGCTCTATTGTTGAGCCATGAAAATGCAAGCTGCTGCTGCTGAGAGGAAACAAGATGCTGATCAGGAAAAACAGGATTCTTTCCGGTTAGTTCTCCTGTGTCACAGCAGATAATAAATGCTGATCCAAGGGGGTGGGAAAGAGAGATGAAAATACAAAATAAACACTAACCTTCTTTATGACACTGTCCAAAGTCTCTGGGCGGCTGATGTCGAAACAGATGAGAACCGCGTCTGAGTCAGGATACGCCAATGGCCTCACGTTGTCATAATAAGAGGAACCTGTGGACACACAATCACATAATGCATAAGGTCATGCATTTCTGTGTACTTGTTTTAAACCCCACACGGTATTTCATCCCAGCCATATGGCTTATTATATCAACTAGAAACACACTGCACATCCCTGGAAGGTGATCTAAAGGTCATGGATAAACTGTGACATAAACGTGGGCACGCTGCAGCTTGCATGCACTCCGTATATGCAAATGACTCTTTATCTTAACAGTTGTGTGTGCATGTTTTGAGTATTTGTGTCTCTTGGGCTTCCACACAGCTGTGTCCTCTCTTCCTGAGGAATGTCAAGAGGTTACTCAGAGAAGCACACACACTCCAAATTGAATTATATTGGGTTGAGGACCAGAGGACTTTTCCACACAATCCATAATCGTCTTGAAACAACAGTAAATGCCAGCACAAAGGCCAAACTAAAGCTTGAACGCTTTAATTCATCCTTCTTCCGGACTCTTTTGCAAATGCTACTTGTTTTAACATCTTCCATTTCTTCCTGACTATATGAAATTGCCATGCACTCACACGCCTCTCCCCACTCTCATTTTCATTTCTGTACCTTGATCAAATTTGAAGGAAGCGCGCTGCCTCTGTACTTTCACAACCCGCTCAGTTACACGGGTCCTGCTCTCTTACAGCTCTCATTAGGAGGCTTGTAAAAATACCTGGGCTCTCTCTCTGAAAATGTGGCTGCGGCTGTGGGCAACCTCCATCCTGGGAATTTGTACAGAACTGAACTCCTACATTTTGATAGAAGCAGCACCCTGGCTGTATACATTTTGCGTCCTGAAAACTCATACGTTTTGAGACAAATCACCCCATTTCACACTCATTACTGCTAGAAAAGTGCATAAAGCTGTGAACCACATACTCTAGAAAATGAATGTTGCAAACTTGGTATATAAAACAACTCATTAATTATTTAATCCCTTAAGGTCAGACAAAGTGTTTCTATGATAAATAAAGATAGTCTTTACTTGCTGTTAACGGGCTTCATACCAGACCTGACACAATACCCAGTCAGCGTGTTGAAGAGCTGTCTTTGTCAGCCGGGGTAAATGGAGTCTGCACAATGGCACTACAGCCTGTTTTAGCATCACTATGTTCTCTTTGTTGATGATAGAATGACAAGTGATGCACGTGGCCCGTAGCCCCACTTATTCAGCCGGCTATCCATAGTGCCCTGCTCCCTCCCCACTGAGAACAATGCAACAGCCTGCACATTAAAGATTGATGCGTTTTGTGCCTCCAAGTGAGAGGAACAGCTATGTTTACATTTTGTTTCTCACCAAAATTGACATTGCTACCAATGGGAGTTAAATGTCACTTCAATCTCTCAAGACTGAAAACAACAATGCTTTGAAATATGCATGATTTATGTCAACTCGCAGTCTCCTTATATTCTCCTGTTGTTGTGGCATACCGTTCTCATTTTGCATTACCGTGCAGTCAGCATCGCTAGAACCCAAGATCCCTTGTTATAAGCGAACTGGGGACCATATTCCTAAATGGTGCTCTATTCAAACGAATGAGTCATTCTTCAGTCTGCCTTTTTTGGTGATAAAGAGGAGGTGCATAAAAGGCCTCCTCTGGCTGAATCTGCACACATAAAGGGGCAGGAGAATATTATCCTCATACAGCTCTTTGCAACTTTGTGTCCTTTAGTCCTTAATGGCTAAAATTGTGGTGACACATTTTGTCTCAACATAATAATTTGCCTTGTTTGTAATGATTGGTTATTGGGAAAAGTGTTTCTGATCCCCTCGTGCCCTTCTGTCATCTATACAAATCATTGCTTTAATTGAAAAATTACACAAAATGGTGCCTTTTTAACACCGTAAAAGCCAAAAGAGGGTTGTTTATAGTCTTTGACAATCTTTAAAACTGTTGACAAGCTTGTTTTTCCAGTGATCATATCTTATTTGTGAGAAAGAAATGCCAAAGAAAACCGCTGTCAGATTTCAGGGATTTGAACCCCCCCCTGCCACCTTTTTTTACACAAGATTGCAACAGTTTTGTACTGCTGAAAGGGCAGGATTTGCACGAATGCACACGACACACACACAAAAAAGCCCAATCAAATGGATGCCAAGTCCAACAGTCAGCAAAGCACACATTGTACAGCAGCGAGCTCTGATTGGTAGTGGTCCCACATGAGGTGCTGTAGCTGCTGAAGTTGGTCTTTAGTACGTATCACAGTGCAGACCTGTACTCAGGTTACAGCTGAAGAAGAAAAGAGACCTAGCATGTGGGGGAGGAGAGTTGGCGGTAAAAGATTTAATGACTTTGATGCAGAGGTGAGGGCAAGGTGCAGAAGCATGAGATGATGAGAGAAGCACCCTGGGAATCCGGATGAAGGGGAAGAGATGTCAGATGAAGGAAAGTTGAGACAATGGAGCTTGTTTGGCTTAAGATGTAATTAGAAGCTGGAAGGAGGCCAATGGGATCAATTTGTCAATCTCATAGATCCGAATGATTGGCAGGTCACGGTCACGACAGGCCTTGTCACAGCGCAGCAATTCACAGCTCTTCTGTTCTGAGCAACGGGGATGCTACCTCAGCACTTTCGCAAAGTCGAAAGAAAGTCCTCCGAGGGAGAGAAAAGTGCTGTGTTTAAAACGAGCCGAGCTGGCACAAATAAAAGCCAATCACCATAACGATCAAGAACATGACAAGAAGGAGGGTTTTCTTCTGATTGTGAAATACCCCCTGCACCGCCTAAAGCCACTTGTCCCCCTTCCAGCCAACAGACACGACCAGAGATTTAAAATAAAAGATGTAGCTGTAGCGAGTGGAGGAGAGGGGGTGTGCAGTGGATGTTTGGGTGAGTCATGAAAGCACTGGACTCGGCAGGACGGATCAAATAAATAGGTATGAGAGCTCTGAGTTGGCTATTGGTGGAGCTAGCCTATGCCCATTCACTGTGAGGTGGAACAAAAGGTCAATTGAATTTCAGACGGAGCAGGGAGAGATGGATGGAGCAGACGGGTGAGGGAGGGGTGCACAACCTGGCAGGAACCCCGAAAAACCATCACGCCTGGCAAGGAGTGGGACCCTGTGCCAAGGACAGGCTTTAAACATCCCTCACAAAACCTCCTGGAGGATTAGCATTAGCTGGATTTAGCAGAGGCGATCTCTCACACTGGGAAGTGGATTTCTGTCTTTATTTCCACAGGGCTAATTAGCACTAAGCCACGCTGCAGTGCCACGCTGGGGGCTTAGCCGGGCATAGGTGACAGAGGTGGGAGGAAAGCGAGCCTCACCAGCCGTCAGTCGAGCGTCATCATAGGCTAGAAGTATCTCAAAGGATGTTGAGGCGGACACAAATGTAGTGGATGTACAGTAATAGGGCTAGAGGGTTTGTGGTATGACTTCATTTATACCGCCTGTCCCCTGACACATCGACTCCCCCGTAGGGACAATCTGTCTGGAGCATGACAGCTCACTATCTGCTCATTCAAACCCTCCTCTGTAAGAGCTTCCATTTTACCAGCAAAAACTATGAAATCAATGTAACAGAAAAACACAATCGCTGCAGTTTGACACAGAGGATTCTTCAGGAAACCTGTTTAATTTATTGTGCGTCAACATCCAACAATGCCTTCAAGGCTTCAGTGCGTTAATCCGTACCATCATTGCAGGATTGTTCTCTTTCTCTCTGTTTGTTGCATGCTCATTGCAGACACAGCTTAAAAGCAAACCATTTTGAGTGAGAGTAAAAGAATAGTCTTTGCCTCAAGGCTCTCTGATGTGTTCATGCACATTTGGCAGGGAGTCAACAGCAACTAACAGCCTCATTAGGCCACTAGACACTGGGAAAAACACCCGTGCACACAAACAAAGGCAGGGTGTAAGGAAACAAACGCTCTCTCAAATGCCGCCAAATAGATGAAAACTGTTTGTGTGATTGAGTTAGTTTCAACTTTAGAAACAAAACCCATTCAGCACAACATACCCCGCGTCTTTTATGTCTCCTGCAGCTGTTTTCCTCTTGAAATTCACCTTCAAAGCGAAGACAAAACATTTCAAGTTGGGTTGGTCGAGTATCGTAGCAACCTGGAAGGATGGAAATGGCTTCATTGTGAGGCCCTGAAAGGAAGTACGGAGGAAGAGAGCAGGAGAGCAAAGGGATTGCCGAGGCTAATGGCTCAGGTGCATTGATGACTGAGGTGACTGAAAGAAGTAGAATAAGAGGGTTGGCATTCAATCTTGAAGAGGTTGAGCATGCTTTTCATTGCAGAAGGTCCGGTCTGTGTTGTAAACTGTTGTTTCTTACTTGGGATAAATAGAGACTGCTGCCAAGACATCATTAGAAAGGAGGCAGAGTTAGTTTGACCCGGTGTACCACTTTCCTGTACAAGATGGCGTGAGTTATATCATGTGAATGTAAGCCTTCACAAAGACTTCTTTTAGAATCCAGAATCCAAAATAGTCTACTGCAAATGATGCTGCTTGAAGACCTTATTCCAAAGGCAGAAATTGTGAACTCATGCTCCGGATGAAAAAACGAGCTGAAAGATTGGCATAAAACTAGTGCTTCATCTATGAAAAGGGACACAAATGTTACACTCAAACTTTCAGCTGGTTACATTAGCTGAGGGTTTTCAAATGCAAATTCTACCGTTTCAGAGTTTTCAACTGTGTTCTCAAACTCTTCAAGGCAACCACTGGTCTATTCAATTGCGCATTATATGAAAAATCAATTACAAGACCCATGCAACTTTGAGTTGTGTAATCGATCACAGTGAAGATAAATTGTGCATCAATGTTATGCTGTCACTGGTGATGCAGCTTAAGTGAAGATTGACTTGCAACAACTTATTACAACAGTTTGACAAATATTAACACAGGCTTTAATGGTCACCGTAATGTATTACAGAACTCAAGCGTGATTGAAGAATCTACTAATTCATTTTCATAAATGTAAGGAATTTAATAAACAATGTCTGCCAGGAAGAATAGAAAGCAGAAAAATAAAGGTTTGACACCAC